CAAAGTTTCTGCCCTCTCTCACTTCTTTCTTTCTCTCTCTCTGTAATGCACATATTTTTAATGCTGATAACCTATTCGCATAGCAAATATTGGATTTAAACCTGCAGTTAATATGTTTATCTTTTATCTTTATAGAACATTTTATAGCTAGAAGTTTGCTCATTCAGTTTTCAGATGGGTTTCATTTAAGTATGTAATATATTCTGAGCATAATGTGACACTTCTGAAACTTTAAAGGAGACATTTGTGAGATTAGGGCTGGGCGATATAGCCCAAAAAAATATCACGATAATTTTTTTCATATCAGTCGATGATTACCACGATAAATGTCAAATCTTTATTTATTTCACGTTTAAAGCCAAATTATTGCTCCAAAGTTAAAGTTGTAGAAAACAGACCATTCATTTTCCTTAACAAAATAAATATCTAAATAGAAAAATGTATTTCTTAGTTTCTGCATGTTCTAATGAGTGATATTGTTTCAAATCAAGAAACAGGTTTGGGTTGCCTGATAATATTAATAATAATAATATCACTTTTTGTCTCTTAGAAATGCACATTTGATAGTAGCTTGAGTTAGGATGCAGAGGTAAATTTGTTCATTATCAAAATCAGTAACATCTGTGAGAAATTGTAGCAACCTCAGTTTTATATGGTTAAATTTATTCTGACCAAGTTTTTATTTATTTATTTATTTTAATTTTTTATTAAGAATTGGTCTCCAATAGTAGCATACATTTAAATCATGATAAACACAGTTAAAACCACACATATAACACCTCAATACCATGGTAAAAATATAACTATGGTTTTTAGGTAGCCTATTTGTATGAAAAACAGTAGTCTAAAAACATTCAGTATAAATGCACACATGCTATAGCTTAATCACAAATACATACTACAATTATATACCATTATTCTTTTAATAAAATTCAGTGTGAATATATAGTCCATCCCTCCTCCACTATACACAATCTTGGTATAATGTTTGATTCTAGTCTACGTTTTGAATCCCACATCAATCAGCTTGTCAAATCCAGTTTTTTTCCACCTTCATAATATTGTCCGCCTACGACCATCTTTAAAATTCAAAGATGCTGAAACTGTTGTTCATGCGTTTATTACGTCGTGTCTGGATTACTGTAACTCCTTGTTTTATGGCCTACCCAACAAAGTCCTTAATCGCTTGCAGCTTATCCAAAATTCAGCTGCTCGTGTTCTTACATTTACCAAAAAATATGCCCACATCACTCCAGTTTTATAGCAATCACATTGGCTCCCTGTCACCTATCATATTCAGTTTAAGATTCTTGTTTTAGTTTTTAAGGCCCATCATGGGTTAGCACCTTCTTACCTTTCTGAATTAATTCTCCCCTATGTCCCTGCCCGTACTTTGAGATCGAGCTCTGAAAATTTGCTTGCAGTACCCAAATTCTGGCTATCTAGTGTGGGTGGTAGGGCTTTCTGCATTTCCGCTGCCAAGCTCTGGAATAAACTACCACAAGATCTCCGTGTTATCTCTTCACTCCAGACCTTTAAAACTGCTCTCAAAACTCACCTATTCACAATGTTTCTTAATTAATTGCTTGCCTTAATTTTCTGTTCTATGCTTTTGTAACTTATCTTGTATATTGCATATTATTTCACCTGTCTGCTGTTTGGCTGTTTATATGTTGTATACTATGTTATTTACCTTATGTAAAGTGTCCTTGGGTGTTTGAAAGGCGCTATATAAATAAAACGTATTATTATTATTATTAT